CTGAGATATATTTAAGTAACTTGCTCAAGTTAATATGATTAACCTCTAATGAAACTTACATAAAACTTCATATGTTCCACTTTTCAGAGCCTAGTTTTTAATTAGTCAAGGCTGGTAATAATCATATAAATAACTGAAAGTATGTGATTTGGTAAGTTGAACTGATTGAAACATTTCAGACACTAAAATATCTAGTTTATCCTCAGGATTCTAAACCCCAAATAATTTTAAAATGTCACTGTAGATGTATTTTAAGTCACTTTACATTCTACATGATATCATTCAATTCTCATCATAATCCAAAGAGGGAAGGAATCAGAAGTTATTATCACCAGAAACTGACCTCACACAAGCGTCTGGAGCCAAGTATTTTGATTTCAAATCAGTACCTTTAGCCTTACTCAGTGAAAATGGTTTAAATATGAAAGTCTGATATTCGTATGTTTTGAGCAATTCAATTTAACTTTAGTGGTTATACAGGTTCCAAAATACAGTCTGGCTAAAATAGAGTTAAATTCCTTTTGTCAGGATTCACTGAGAATTGTAAGCGCTGTCTGTGTCAATGGAACCTGTGTTAGGGAAAATGAAATTGAACACAGGAGATGGGTAACATGTTCTATCCATACAGTATCATGGCAGGAATTTGAGATTTTTCCTTTTGGTGACCTCTTAAAAAATGTGTGAACAAAATACATGAGTATATATAATATACATATATATTTAATATATATGTACACATATAAATAAAATTATAAAATTATATATAAGTACATATACTCATATAAGATAAATATTTAAGTGAATAAATCATTGTTTTGAAAAGGGGTTGATATAGCATGAGTTCCTATTGTGAGAATAACAAATTTGTGCCCTACTATTTTCCTCTGGCAGCTAAACAAGGCATCTATATCATGGCATGTAGGAGATAGAGTATGAAATAGAAATTTTTTTTAGGTGTGCTGTATCTAAATACAGTCACAAGCACAGACCTGCTTTATTTTTCATGTTCAGTATAAATCAATTTTAAAAATATTTGCAATATATATCTTCCTAAACAATTAGAGTTCACAAAGAATGACAGCAAAGGGGATACAATCATTTAAGTATTTATGATTTGAGTGTGTGGGAGGATGATTTTTAAAAGATATTTAGAATCACGAAGATTTAGAATTTTCCCAAAGGTTATATATTTTATAATTATCTGCTCCTCTCACAAAGCATATAGGGAAGGTGCAGGTAATTTAAAAATATATGTCATTTGGGATCACCCTCTTGTGTAGTAAATGTGTACATTGAATTTTAAGCTTTGATATCCTAACTGTTCCCCGTACTCCGTCAAATGTGAATTAAAATTTTTTAATCAATTTTTTTGTAGATTTATATGCAGTTGTAAGAAATAATACAGAGAGCTCTTGTGTACCCTTCACCCAAGAAACAGCTGTAAAGCTATGAAACAACATCACAGTGAGGAAACTGACACTGATACAGTTCAATAGTCTTATTTGGTTTTCATCAGTTTTACATGTATTTGTTTTTGTGTTCATATGTGTAAGAGTGTGTGTATATATGTTTACTTCTAGACAATGTTATTACATGTGTAGATTCATGTATCCATCACTTCAATCAAGAGACAAAACAGTTCCAGAACCACAGAGATCCCTTCTTCCTCTCAGAGCCACACCCATGTCCCTCTACTCTCCATCGCCCCCTGCCATCCCTAGCCCTTGGCAACCAAACTCTGTTCTCTACCTCTATAATTTTGTTATCTCAAAACATCATATAAATGGATTCCATCTTTATTTATAGAGTTTTTGAGTGTATTCTTTATATGCCTTTCTTAGTGGTTGCTCTGGGTATTGCAATTAACAGATGTAATTTACACAGTCTACTAGTAGCAACATTTTACCACTTCAAGTATGGAAACTTTACTTCCACTAGGTATCTTTGCCCTATCCACTTTTTTTCTTGTCTTGAATATTCCTTCTCGAATAATGGTGGACATTATCAAAGTTATACTTTTTGTTTTAATAATCACATACTTGAAAAAAACTCAGAAAAAGGGTAGTCTATTCTATTTTCTCATATTTTGCTATTATTTTTGTTCCTTCTTGGTGCTTCAATATTTCCTCTTATTACTAATTCTTTTATGTTTGAAAAACTTTAATTTTTCTTTAAGGCAGTCCTGCTAGAGGCAAATTATCTGTTTTTCTTTCTTCTAAGAACATATGTATTTCATCTTGATTCCTAAAGGATAGTGTTACTGGTTAAGAAATCATAGTTGACAGCTCTTTTCTTTCAGGAGTTGAAAAACGCACCACTTCCTCTGGCCTCCATGATTTGAAATGGGAAATGTATTGTATTTGAATTTGTATTCTCTTGCAGGTAATAAGCCATTCTCTTGGGCTCCTTTCAAGAAGTTTGTCCAGTTTTCGTCTAGTTTTCACAGTAGAGTTCACTCTCCTGTGAGAAGTGCCCCCATTCATCTGACAGGAGGTGGAACTCAGGCAGTAATGCTTGTTTTCAGAAGTTTCCTTTTGATGTATCTCGACATACAGTTCTTTGGGTTTTTCCTACTTGGGTTTCACTCAGCTTCTTGATTGATTCTGTATCTTCCTGACTTTTGCCAAATATGGAATGTTTTCAACCATTATTTCTTTGAATACAACTTTTCAAAGTGGTGCTCTTTTTTCCCACTCTCTTTCGTCCCACTCTCTTTCTTCTTTCTTTCTGGGGCTCTAATGATACCACTGACGGATATTTGGTATTGTCTCACAGGTCCCTGGGGCTCTGTTCTTTCCTATCTTTTCTTTCTATCCTTCTATTTTCTCTCAGCTGTTCAGATTGGGTGAATTAAATTTCTCTGTCTTTAAATTAACAGATTCTATCCTCTGTTATTTTCACTGTATTATAGAGCAAATCCAATTAGTTTTTATATTGGCTTTTATATTTTTATTTCTATAACATCCTTTTTTAATAACATTTTGCATGCTAAGGTTTTATGTTTTTTTCAGTTGTGCCAAGATAATTAGTAATTGCTTATTAAAGTAATTTTATAATGGCTTCTTCAAATTTTTGTCAAAAATTTCAATATTTGATTCATCTCAGTATAAGCATCTGTTGATCATTTTTTCTCATTCAGTTATGATTTTCCTGGTGTTTATTATGACTAGTAAGTTTTTTAAATTATTATATGCTGAGCATTTTGGTTATTATGTTAAGAGACTCTGGATGCTAATTAAATTTATTCTCAGAAGCAGTTGCTAGTCCTAGCTTTCAATTATGGGCTGTGGTTCTAATGAGAATTTAATTTTTAGGGACTTTGTGCTACTATTTGGACACGTTGATTTATCTAATTCTACTGGAGACCACACTGATCTCTTCTGGACCACCTAAGGGACAAGAGGAGATTCCCCAGGCTAAGCTGTAGTGGTCTAGGGGAGGTAAAATATGCTCTAGCTCAGTGGTCCCCAACCCTTTTGCCACCAGGAACCGGTTTTGTGGAAGACAATTTTTCCATGGATGGTGGGCGGTGTGTGTGGAGGATGGTTTTGGGATGAAGTTGTTTGACCTCAAATCGTCAGGCATTAGTTAGATTCTCACAAGGAGCACGCAACCTAGATGCCTCATATGCAGAGTTCACAACAGGGTTCACTCTCCTATGAGAAGTGCCCTTGCTGATGTGACAGGAGGCAGAGCTCAAGCAGTCATGCTGGCTAGCTCATGAGTCACCCCCTGCTGGGTGACCTGGTTCCTAACAGGCTGCAAACTGGAACTGGCCCATGGCCTAGGGGTTGCGTACCCCTGCTCTAGCTAATGAAAAGAGGATTACTTCCAGGGCTCTGTACTTGTTGTAGAGACATCCCGTCCCTGTGTATACCCTCCTGCCTCACTTTCCACACACACTACTAGAGCTGCTTATCTGTTCAGTACCTCCAGATGGCAAGGGGAAGTCTTAGGCACCCTGGAAAAGCAGGTCACTTTCCCTAGCTGTTTGCTCTTAGTAAGGCTCCTACTTCATTCCCCTTGCAGGTAACCCAGTCTCTCCTGATATTGGTGGATGGATTCTCATTTGACCAGCAATAAAAAATGAGTCTACCTAGACTAACTTCTGTTTCTAGGTTGTGGTTGGGAGAAGCTGGGTCTGGATCATCTTTTACTGGTGTTTGGGAAGCTACTGGGATTTTCCTTGGGTGCTGGTGTCTTTGACTGGTCCTCCTCACTCTTTCTACCATTTAGAGTATACTTTTTTTTTTGCCGCTTGCTTAATTCCAGATTTTACAGCTCTACTTAGTGGAGCACATAACGATAAACTTTTTAATGCTTTTTTCCTCCCCCAAAATGAGTCAAGTGAAGCGTAATTCAGCAAGATGCTAAAATATCTTCTGTGAAAATGAGTGTCTTGTGATAGAAAAGGTGATTCAGACGAAAGACTACATTAACATACAGTACAGCAGAGGCACCAACCAATCAGAGCAAATTTAAAAGTCAGGTAGTTTACAGGTGCCTTTCTGCTCAGTATCAGCTCAAGTTTAAATAGTTCAAGTTCCTGTACCGCAGAGAGCTTTTAATATGCTAAAATTTTTGTTGTTGCCTTGGAGGGCCTGCCTCAGTCACAGTTTACCAAATTTATCTGTCCATAGAAGTGAACCCACTTTGTTTATAGTTTTTCTTGGCACTGGTATTCTATGAAAGATTTGCAGAGGAAAGCTATGTTTATCAACATCAGTATCTACCTCATCTAAAGTATTGTATTAGATGTAATCATGTAATTATAAAGTGATTTCTGAAAACATTAAGGAGCACCTAATTCTACTTTGATTTTTAAATATCTGATAAAATATTTCAATGTATTTAAACTTTCTTTTAAACTGTTCCAAGAAGTAAGATTTCAATGTATGGCCAAAGAAAACATTTATTGTATTGTGTTGAAAATATATAGTCTAAAAATACTGACTTTGTCTGATGTTCTTATTTACATTTTCATTATTTTCTCTTTCCAGCTTTAAGAGACAATAGGATTGAGCTGGTTCGCGCTTCCTGGCATGAATTGAGTATTAGTGTCAGTGATGTGTCTCTCTCTGATGAAGGACAGTACACTTGTTCTTTATTTACGATGCCTGTCAAAACTTCCAAGGCCTATCTCACCGTTCTGGGTAAGTGCAAGGGACTAACACCATGTAATCACACAACCAGAGTGATATATATTGCTACAGCAACATAATTCAATACAAAAATGTATTTCAAAGACTATATGAACAGATATGGTTTAATCCTTTCTCTGCTATATTTTAACAAAGGCATTTTAAAATCATTCAGTCCCTTTCTGCATTTTATAAAGGGACAAAGACAGAGAGATTCAAAAACATATATGACTGCTAGAAGACACACGGCTATTTTGTTTCTTAGCCAGCAATAGACACCGGTTCTCTTGATTCCAGCTAATTTTTTTCATCACATAATCTATATGTTGTATATATTCTGATCTTTTCCAAAATGACACAATACTGAGCATAATGAGTTCACCTTGTATTCTATACTATGCTCCTTTATTTGATCATGTGAGTCACCTGATAAGGGCCTTTCTCGCGAACTTGTGGCTCTCAGATATGACCTGCTTGTGTATTTAGTGCATTTAAATGACCCTGATATTTCCATGTGCCTTCTCTCCTTTTAAAATTCTATTTTCTAGATTCCTAAATGAAGTACCTAATGTCGCTTGAGCTTGCAGCTTGTAGTTTCTTTGTGTTTTTATTCTCTAAATATTGGGCCATTTTCCCAAAGGTGAAAGTGACACAGAAAAAGCAATACATTCATAGAGATTCTGAGGAAATAACGTTGCAGCTCCGAGCTCTCTGTGATTCCACAGACGTCAGTGCCCCAATCAGCTGAAATTGCTGCAGTTCATTGAAACACACCTGTGTACTGAACAAGTTAGAGGAATTTAAAGATTGATTTTTTTTTTCCCCTAAGCTTGCCCTCCTCTTTAGATAGAAAAAGGCACAATGTTGCATTTAAAAGGACTAACACATGCTGTTCTTTTGGGTGGGAATATTAAAGCTAATCCAGCTAGTGAATTGGTTTTGTGCATAGGATATAAAACATATTTCTTTGCAAGTCACACTGGGACTATTTTATAAAAATCTTCACAAGTTTGCCATTAAAGACAAAATATACCCACTAAAATGGAGGATTTCAGGATAACAACTGCATAAGGTTAATGTATTGTTCTGTAGAGAGCCAATTTGAAACTCAAAGAATAGATGACTGATGAATTCAGTTTATTAAATGGTGATGTGGCAGAGATTTTTAAAAAAGAAAGCAGGTAATATGTAGGTGAAGATAAAAAAATGTTAAGAGGAGTTATGTTAATTTTTCATGCATCTTTGTGGTTACTGTGTTACCGTTGTTTAATTTGTACTTCTCATATTGGTGCTTTCCAATATTCCTTTTTTTGTTTTTCTGAGACGGAGTCCAACTCTGTAGCCTGACTGGAGTGCATTGGCGTCATCTCAGCTCACTGCAACCTCTGCCTCCTGCGTTCAAGCGATTCTCCTGCCTCAGCCTTCTGAACAGTTGGGATTACAGGCGCCCACCACCACACCGGCTAATTTTTTTTTTTTTTTTTTTTGGTGTTTTTAGTAGAGATGGAGTTTCACCATGTTGGCCAGGATGGTCTCAATCTCTTGACCTCGGTCTCCCAAAGTGTTGGGATTATAGGCGTGAGCCACCGTGCCTGGCCACAAAATACACAGAGGATAATATTCTTTTTAAGCTTTAAGAACTATGAAATCAAGAAAGAAAGAAGCAAAAGTTAAATTGTAATTTGGTAAGGGATAGAGAAATCTGTTTGTGGGTTTTTTCCTTCAATGCAGTCTACCTTTTAAAATCTCTACACTAGTAAATTGTAAAGTATATTGAATGATTGTTTTTAAGATTTACACACAGGTATTTTCACAGGTAAAATTTTACAATTGAGGCCAGGCACAGTGGCTCAGACCTGTAATCCCAGCACTTTGGGAGGCCGAGGCTGGTGGATCACTTGAGGTCAGGTGTTTGAGACCAGCCTGGCCAACATGATGAAATCCCGTCTCTACTAAAAAGTACAAAAATTAGGCTGGGCACGGTGGCTGACGCCTGTAATCCCAGCTCTTTGGGAGGCTGAGGTGGGTGGATCATGAGGTGAGGAGTTCGAGATCAACCTGGTCAACATGGTGAAACCCCATCTCTACTAAACGTACAAAAATTAGCCAGGTGTGGTGGCACCCACCTGTAATCCCAGCTACTTGGGAGGCTGAGGCAGAATTGCTTGAACCTGGTAGGTAGGGATTGCAGTGAACAGAGATTGCACCACTGCACTCCAGCCTGGGTTCAGAGCAAGACTCTATCTAAAAAAAAAGAAAAAAAATTATTCTGGCATGGTAGCACACACCTGTAATCCCAGCTACTTGGGAGGCTGAGGCAGGAGAATCACTTGAACTCAAGACGCGAAGGTTGCAGTGAGCTGAGATCAAGCCAGTCCACTCCAACCTGGACAACAGCGTGAGACTCTGTCTCACAAAAAAAAAAAAAAAGAAAAGAAAAGAAAAATTACAATTTAATCTAAAAAACTACTTTGAGCTATATGCGTCTTACATACTTTCTTGATTTTCTTGATACTATGTATGTATATATCTGTACACATATACATGTGTATGGATATGTATATACATTTATGTGTATGCACATGTATATACATTTGTGTGTATGCATATAGACATATACAACTATGTATGTATACACACACACGAAGCAGTTTATTACATAGTAGTTCGTTAACTTGATTGAGAACTTCTTGTCAATTAACCATCCAGTTCAGTTTCATGTGTGAAAGTAATAGACATAATAACAAATCAGCCCTGAAGATTGTTGCTCACTTCATCATTTGCTTAAATTTCAGGTGTTCCTGAAAAGCCTCAGATTAGTGGATTCTCATCACCAGTTATGGAGGGTGACTTGATGCAGCTGACTTGCAAAACATCTGGTAGTAAACCTGCAGCTGATATCAGATGGTTCAAAAATGACAAAGAGATTAAAGGTAAAGAATGGAAAAATGAAAATCAGAATTAATGTGCTGAAACCAGTATGGCATGTTAGGAAAAAGTCATTTTACATTATTTTTCAAACCATAGTATCTCTTACAGATTACGCATCATTTCAACCAGATTTACTCATTCTTAAGTGAGGTAATTTTACAAGATATATTAATATATAAGTATAATCCCTGTGTGCCTCATTTTCCTCTTCTGTAAAATAGGTTTAAAAATAATATACACCTTATGGAAAAGTTGAGGGAATAATTCAGTTAATATATGAAGAAACGCATAGATTCATATTTCACAATAATAAGCAATTAGCACATATTAGATATTATTTCAGAACTCACATATAATATTTAAGTTAAAGACAGAGAAGCTGTATAAATTATTTCTTCAACTTTGTTTTGGGAATTACAGGGTTCTGAGAATAAAACTGGTTAAATATCAATTAATTTGATTCCTGTTAATTCTGATGAAAGGCAAAAATGTGTACTTGTCTAAATAAAAGTGCATACTTTAAATTCTTTATACACCTAAATTTAAACTCCCTCTCTCTCTGTCTCTCTCACATACACACACACACACACACACACACACACACACAAATGAAACATACGTTCTTTAGGAGGGGAATAAGTTTATAAGGGTGATGGCTTAGTATTTAAATATAAGAATTGTTTATGATGATTATTAAAACATAATTCCTATGCCATTGTAATATGTATTATTTTCAACATTATCTTCTATGAGACAGGTTTATGCAAACCATTCTGCTTATTTTAAAATGTTACTTATCTATTTATTTTTAAGAGATAGGGTCTTGCTCTGTCACCCAAGCTGGAATGCAGTGGAATGATCATAGCTCACTGTAGCTCGCACTCCTAGACTCCAGTGATTTTCCCGCCTCAGCCTCCTGAGTAGTTGGGACTACAGGCGTGCATGACCATGCTTGGTTAACTTGTTTTATTTTTTGTAGAAATCATGCTACAAAATCATGCTATGTTGCCCAGGCTGGTCTCGAACTCCTGGGCTAAAGTGACCCTCCTGCTTCAGCCTCTTAAAGTGCTAGGATTGCAGGTGTGAGCCACCATGCTCAGACGTTCTGATTATTTTAACCTATAATTGTGATACCTTATATCACACTAATTAATTCTTCGTAATGGGCGTGCAGGCTTAGCAGATAACATTGCCTATATTACCGAGAAATTATGATTATAATCCACACAATTGTTTTTATCAGTTTCCTATTTTAATTACTCTTTCTCTGCATATTTTTTTCCAAGAAAAGGTCCTTATCCATAATTTTACCCTGATCACTACCCTTGCCATAGTATTTCTAATAAATATACATTATTGGATTACATTTTGAGAAATGCCAGTCCCAAGACACAAGTTAGACGTCTTATTATGCTAAATTAAATTTCAGGTTACTATGTAACCTGATTCTTGAATTCTGTCAAGGCTTGGTAACATCCATTCTAATTTTGCCTCTAGGATATGTTAGTCTAGGCATTTCTGGACTTGGTTAGATCTCTCTTTAATGGATGTTCCACACTGCTTCCAGAGTTATCTTACTACAACAAGAATCTGATCCAGGCACTTTTCTGCTGAAGCATTTCTAATGGAAAGCCCTAAACTTTCGAATAAGTTTAAAATCTGCTTTCTGTAGCCTGTAAGAATTCTCCAGGCAGTGAACTCTTACACATCACATATTTCCTTTTGTGTGAAGGTCTTGGCTTGCACTAAAATGCACTTCTTATGTACAATCCTTCAATGAATTATTTTATTACCTGTATGTTTTTTCTTCCTAAATTCTGACACAATTAGTTAATTCATTTGTTGTTTACTTAGTTCTCACATTGTTAGTATTTTGTTTATGTTCCAAGGATTTGCCTCTCTTGTATCCTCAAGGAGGTCATACACTTTCACATATTAAGTACCTCACTAGTATTGATTGATTGTTTTTCACACTGTAGCTGCATGACAAACCCATGATATACTCAGACATTTATAAAGGAAGTGAATTTTTGACAAAATTGGCCTCTGTTTTAAATGCCAAACAGATTTAATCATACACTGGGCAGGAGGGGAAAGATTTTTGCTCATATGAAGAAATATGAAAAGTTTAATCTTGTAAACAACATATTTTAAAATCATCTGAACCAAGATCAGAACAACAATGAAGACAGAAATAGGTACAGAATCAGAACATGGTTCTATGCTGTATTGAAAACTTGTGAAGATCCCATTTTTTTCTATGCTCTTCAATGCACTGCCATTTACAGAGCATTTATCTTTACACTTGCATCTATCTATCTGTCTATCTGTGTATCTATCTATCTAATCTTGTAATTCTTTAGCAGGTTTACATCATTTGTCTCCCTAACCAGATGGTGAACTTTCTGAGTGGCATATATTTTATATTTGTAAGTGTATATGTAAATACAGTTAGGTAAAGACTACTGCACAAAGTGAATATTCACTATAGTTGCTTTTCTGGATATGCTAAGCAAAATGTCACTCTTCCGTCTTTTAGCAAACCCTCCTCATTTAAAGGAGTAATCCACCTTATCCGGCGCTATTTTCTCTTTTCAGAGATAAAAATTTGACTTCCTATTACCATCTAACTGTTTTTAGTATAGTATCACTTGACACATTTTAAAAAGACACTCCCTAGCGTAAAATAAGGCAAATGGAAAAGACAGGCTAATCAAATTGAATTCAATTCAATTCAATACAAAATTGTTAAAATGCCTCTCAATTTCACCGTATTCTATGGTGCATTGGTGAAGATGCAAATGAAGAAACCAAGAACCTTGACCTGTAGCTGCTTACGATGTCTTTGGGGTTATCAAACATGTTATGGAGAATATTTTCCTAAAAATAGACACGTTTGTACGAATCTTTATCTTTTCTCTATCACTACCTAACATATTAATTTTATATCCAAATTTCTGGGTAAAAGTCACTTGAAAGATCTAGTTTATGGAATTTGTTCATACTTGATTATAGAACAGTGGTTCTGAAGCTATAGCCATTAAGTACAGGGCATCATCAAGTACAGGGTTTGCTGAATCTCAGATTATCAGGCCTTGATCCAAGATTTTCTGGTGGAGCAGGCCCATGGGGAAGCCTGAAAATGTGCGTGTTTACCATTGTGTTAAATGTGTGAGTGATGTTGACCTCCTGTTTCAGAATCACATTAGTATGAAGAATATAAAATGAGGAGTATCAGTAAACTATACAGAAGTCCTGCCTCTGTCTCTGAGCTTTATTTTTCTCCTTTGCTAAATAAGGATAATAATGGTTGCCTCAAAGTGCTTTTGCAAGAATTCCGTATAAAACAATATGAATGAAGTATTTTCAGAGTATAAGGAATCATTGAATACATTTTAGCTGTTATTATCATTATCATTGTAATTCTTATTTTCAGGAAATCATGATGAGTTGTACCAATTCCTAAATTAGTCCTAGAAATATAAACAAATAAAACAAAAATATTCCTCCCAGGCTTTCACAATTGAGAAAGAGATATAAAAACATAAGATGTAACAGATACAGATACATGAACTGGCTACAGTTTTCTGCAGAAGTAGCAGGTATCAGCCCTACTTTGTGGGAGAGGTTAAGACTCAACAGTTCATTTATGGAAGCAGGCACTCAGTAAATATCTGCTTATTGAGTAAATGTGTCTTAAACAATGTATAAACCAAACAGTGACTGAGGCAAGTCTCAGTCAGTTTAGAGGTTTATTTTGCCAAGGTTGAGGACGCGCCCAAGAAAATAACACAAACCACAGAAGCATCTGTGGTCTATGCCTTTTCCAAAAAGGGGTTTAAAGACTTCAACATTTAAAGGGGAAAGAGCAAGCAGGAGGGGAATAAGACAGGGGAAAAGGGGTTTGGGGGAAGGGTAGACAGGGAGGCAAGTGGTTACGTTCTTGTGAGAGTTTGATTATCTCTCAGTTCATCTACATTTTACATGAGAGAGAGTACAGGAAAAGTAAATTATGCATTTGTCTCTCAGTCAATCTACATTTTACATAAGATAACTATGTGAATAGATGAAGTAGAGGAAGGAGTCAATTATGCACTGGTCTGGGGTAGGCAGAGGTCAGTCAATCTACATTTTACATAAGATAACTATGTGAATAGATGAAGCGGAGGAAGGAGTCAGTTATGCACTGGTCTGGGGCAGGCAGAGGGATTGTTTCTGGTCTTTCTCTGTCTCATACCTGTGAAGTAAAGCTGGTAATTTGCATTGTCATGGTTAGATTTTACAGAACTCTGTTTTAGGGCTAGTTTATAGGGACGGCATGTATTCTGATAGATTATTGGACCCAGAAGTAATTTCCTTGTCAGCAATTTTGGAGAGAGACCATTTGGGGAGATACATGGCCTTCTGTTATTGTGAGGCTATGACATAGGTTTGTGAAATTGTAGCTATCATTCTGTGAAAAAAAAAGAAAAGCTTTTTTTTTTTTCTTTTTTTCATTTCTGAGATCCCAAGCTTAACTTTCCCTTTGGCACAGTGATTTTGGGATCCTGAGATTCCTATTTTCTTTCACAAAGGAGTGGAATTCATCATATGTCTTTGGGACAAAAGTAGGTGGTAGGACACTTTGAAGAAATGAATTTCATATATCTATGCAGAGTAACAGCATGTGATTGAAATAACTCTGAAACTTTATGTGTGGTATAGGCATGAGAAGTAAACAAAGAGGCAGGGTTCAGTTATGTCATGAAAGAGCTTTTATTCCAGATTAAGGTTTTGAAATTTATTCTATAGGCAATAGTGAAGCTTTTTTTTAATAAGCTTTAAAAAGTAAAATGAAACAATCATAATTTCATCCAACTCTGTTTTTTATCCCCTCTATGTGAGTTTTACTCAGAAATCCCTTTGGTGCCTCTGGGCAGAGCTGCATCCAAAACCACAGGTAGTTTCACTGCAGCCTTTAATCTTCTGCATAGCAAGAAAGTGAATATCTGCCATTTAGTGT